CCTTTGTTTTTTATTTTTTCTTTTTTTTTTCAAATTTTTGGTCGTAAATAAAAGAGGAAGATTGCTCATTGCAGGCATTGGGTCTTTCTTTCATACACGTTTTTGATTCTCTCTCTTTCTCTTTCTCTTTCTCTCTCTCTCTCTTCCTCTTTCCTAGTGTTGGCCTTTGTGGTGTTGTCTCTCTTTCTTCTTTCTTCTTTCTTCTTTCTTTCATCTTCTCGAAGACTTAAAAAGAAGTTCGCTTTCTCTCTTTAATCTCTTCTGTATATTCAAAGAATCAGAAGGAGAACACGGATAAGCAAAGAGGTAGAGAACATGCATATGACTTTCCCTTCTTCTTTTTTTCAAATTTAACGTCCTTTCTTCTTTCTTCTTTGTACCTCAATGAAATTCGCTTTCACAACAAACCCACAGTTTTGATCGTTTTTCATTAAATTCTCACTTTTTCTAGCTCTAGCAAATAAGGGTCTTTGTTTTAATCGAAGGTTTTTTTTTTAATATGTACATTAAAAGATTGGTTATTTTGCTGACTTGATCATCCTGCTTTCCAAGAAAGAATTTTGGTAATTTAGTCTCACGAATTTCTGTATGGTGGTGGTGGTGGGCTTGGAGGGGATGGACAAGTATTGAAGAAATGTTCAATTTGCCTCTTTTTTTTTTCTATCTTATTTTGGCTTCCTTTGTCTACTCTCACTGTTAAGTTTTAATTTAGTTTTGATGGGTGATCAGCTTTTTCCACCCTTAAATCACGGAGAAAGTCTTCTTTTATTTTTAGAAAAGAGGAGGTGAAAAAAGAAATGGGATTGTGTGGAGAATAATTCAAACAAAACATCGACCTTTGAGAACCAATGACCCACTTTTGTTGGGATCAAATACAATACTGGGGGCATGTGACCATCTAGTTTCCTTTTGTTTTGCTCTTCTTTTTCCTCTTATTCACTGTTGTGATTTATTACTTTTTTTTTCTTTGTTATGGGAAAACACCAAAATGGCTCTCTTTGTGAGCATGTTTGATCCTTTGATAGCAAAGGTGTTTCATTTTCATCCCTTCTTATTTTGTTCATTCTGTATGATTTTCTTCCTTTTGTTTATTCAATTCAGTTTTGAGGTGATTCTTTAGTTTGTGGCATCTATTTCTATCATTCTATGAATGTTTCTGTTTGGAATTCATAATTCTTTTATGCAGAGGAAAATAAAAATTTATCTGTTGGTGAATAAGGTGAGCAGAATGTAAATTAGAATTGGGTTTCTAATTTGGTTTTAGGATTACTTTCTGCGAATTGTCCTAATGATTTGTATTCTTTTTCCTTTTTATTTTGGGAGTGGGGGCATAGATTATAGCAATTCAGATTATATCAGATTGAAAATAGGTTGCAAATCTTCTCCCTTATGGTTCCAAATTTGAGTAGCCTTTAAGGATAGCTGCCAGGCACTGTATTTTGGGGGATTTCTTGAACTTAATGGGCAATAGCGATTCTGATTGATTGGTTATGATTATGTTTGTAGCAGTCATAATCTTAAATTGGTAAAATTTTAAACATTTAAAGTAAATAATTTGAAGGTACTAAGTTTGGTTTTTGTGTGGGAAAAGGAAGGTGTTATTTTGAGGTTAGATTTATGTATGAAATCTGTGCTCTTTTATCCATTTCATGGTTTTAATTATTGTGTTAATGTTGGATTGAAAGTTACCCTTGCTTCGGCAGGTTAACAGTTGGTTTATATTTGAAAAATTTTAAGCTTGTATAAGCAAGTATCAAGAATTACCTTTTGGCATGAATTAATGTTTATAAATATTATCTTAATTCGAATGAACAATGGCAGGTTCCTGCAGTAAGCATACAGTGTATGCTTTTAATATGGTTTTTAGGTTTTGTCTTTTTTGTCCTGAACTAAAGTTATGACATGGTGGAGGATTTCTTTTCTCTTATTAATGATACATTTATTTTGATTTTTCCAGATATAAACGATAGTTGTTACCTAGATGGATGGGTATGCTGGTAAAAGAGCTGTTGATGGGCTTGTTGCACCTGGCAAGAGATCAGGTCTCGTCTTGAAGGATCATGTTAATAACAGAGAACGAAATGCTCAATTTTGCAACCGAATTGGATGCAATGGCAGGCTGAACTCCATGAAAGGTACTCCAAATGGCTGCTTGGAAAAAGCCAAATCTTCAAGGCCTTCTTACCGCGCTTCATCAAGTGGCAAGGAAATAATTGGAAGTTCCTCTAGGGCATACTCTGCAATTAGCAACAATAGAAAATCCTCTAGAAATCCGCAGAAAAAGCTACCATCTCAGCTGGAAACAGATTCATCTGAAACTAGTAGTGTTCTGGATGAGCCAGAAGTGTCAGAATTCATACCCCCACCAGGAAAGATTCAAAGAGGGCTGCAGCCTGATTCTGAAGATGCTGATTCTAGGGAAGTTACAGTGATGGAAGCAGGGAGCTCTAGTGTAGCATCAAGCACAAGATCAAGGAGAAATTTTATTCAGAGATCTGGGTTGGGCAACCAGGATAGTCTGGCCAGTCCATCTGTTACATCTCGAAGTGCTTCCCAGGCAACTTGTGCTAATGCAGGCAAGTACGGTTTGAGAAATCTAAAATGTAACTCTATTTCTGATGTTGTCCCATCTGGTTGTTCATCATCAGATTCAAGCCTTAGCAGAAGGAAAGAAACAGTTAAAAAGAGAAACTCTGATGGAGAGGGTAGTTCCTCCACAAGGGGAAAGAAGTTGAGTGGGTCATCTTTGGAGGGACGAAACAACAGTTCTAGCCACGGTGTTTCTATTTCTGATTCAAGGCGAGCCAGAAATTGGCCTCCTAACAGGGATAGTGGTGTTGCTTCAGTTAGGACTCAGAGATCAAACAGTAGTTATGGCAGAGGGAGACTCCCTAACCATGCAAATGGCAATAGTATAGCTTTGAACGAGTCCCCTGTAATCATCCCGCAAGTTCATCAATCTGATATACCTATTGATTTGAATGCCCCTGTTTCCACAGAAACTGCCTCAAGTCGTGCTAGTTCTTATGGTCGAGCAGGCAGTATCAGTGAGAGTTTACGCAGTGTCATGCCCTCTAGTCCTTCAGAAGTTGGCATTACCCACTCTTCATTGAATCTGGATAGCTTCCGGCGCTACAATATGGATGGCATTGCAGAGGTATGATTAACAGGATATATCAACCTGCATTGTCTTATGCATGCATTTATACCTTTCTCAGTCTATGGAATTCAGCGAAGGGACTGTGGGCTGTGAGCATTATTTACCCATGTAATACCTCAACATGTGGTGTTACAGAGCTCTCTCCAGGGGGAGGGAAAAACGAACCATTAGTAGTTTGTTTGCAGTGTTTTTGATTTACTGAAGCTTCATCTGTTACTATTTTTTTTTCTGTGTTATGCAGGTATTATTAGCACTTGAGAGGATTGAACAGGATGAAGAGTTGACATATGAGGTAAATTAGTTTCGACGTGTCTCACTTGCATGATGGTTCGCTGTTGTTGATTCTGTTTCTGTCTTGCAGCAACTGCTTGTTCTAGAGACCAGCTTGTTCCTTAATGGCCTAAACTTTTATGACCAGCATAGAGAAATGAGACTGGATATAGATAATATGTCATATGAGGTTTGTTGTGTTTTGCTATGTTGGTGCAAAGTTTGCATTTTATTTTCCCCACTGTTTGCTTCTTGTTGAAAGATGAACCATGTGGTAAGCTTTTCCTGCTATCATGACAGGAATTACTAGCTCTAGAAGAGAGGATGGGTTCTGTGAGCACTGCATTATCAGAAGAAGCATTGTCAAAATGCCTTACAAAAAGCGTCTATGAGGCAACATCTTCAGAGGATGGAAATGTCAGCTGTGAGGGTGAAAAGGATGATGTAAAATGCAGTATATGTCAGGTCCTTTTCGATATAACTTTTCACTATCAGTAAAACCTTTGTACTACTATATTCCTCTGATCATCTCTGGATGTGACTGCAATTGTTTCTTGACTGGTTTCAGTTCAACTTAATGGAATTCCATTGGTTTTCCTCTTGCAGGATGAGTATGTCATCGGTGATGAAGTAGGGAGGTTGCAGTGCGAGCACAGGTATCATGTGGCATGCATACAGCAGTGGCTGCGGGTGAAGAATTGGTGCCCTATTTGCAAGGCATCGGCAGAACCCACGCCTTCTTTCGCCCCCTCCTCATAATTTAGTTGAATTTGAATAGAAAGCCAGAGGCTGAGTTTTCTTCTGTACAAATTGATTGCTACCCTTCAGCATTTTTTATTTTATGATCACCTTGTAAATGTCAAATCTCTTTCTCATGTCAGTCAACTAATAAACCCAGGTGCTCTTGGCTCTGCACTGGAACTCATTCACCCATAAAAGAAATGTGAATCAAAATACACATATTACTTCTGTAATTTGAGCATGATCAGTTTTTTCTCTCTTCTTGGCAAGTGTCCATTAGGTGCCTGATGTACTTATTTTTCATACCTTCCATAATTGCTAGCAAAACCACAGATACTTTTGCCTTCGTGGTTCTCTCAGGGCAGTAGATGCAATGGGAATTTGCTGATATTTGAAGGTTAGATAAACAGCGATACAGGATCTCATGTGATGGTAACAGCTATGGCCTATGGGCAACTTCCTTTTTTCTTTATTCCCTCATCTGTCCCTTTGATAAGCAATATCAAATGCTGCATAAATTCCCTCTTTTCAATAATTCCATGCGGTCGCTTTTACAATTAAAATCGACCCTCCGCTTCTAGTTTTGGGATTAGGAAGCACCCAATGAGTAATTATGCTAAGGCTTTTGACACTCCTTTTGGTGGCACCTACTTGTTCCTTTCTAAATCTTTAAGCTATGCCCTGCCTTTCATTTTCACTGATTCTACAGTTTGGTGCTTTACCTGCATTTGTTCAGCTTTTTGATTTGGTTATATAAGATTTTGCTGCCTGTGCCACAGATTAGTGTGCAGAAAGCTATGAAATACAATACCTTCATCAGAATTGCGGACCAATATTGTAATAGAAAAATGGCAAACTCAAATCCCAGCATACAAAGGAGGAAATGGACATGGGCATTTGATTAAAAAGTACCCTTTTCTGTAACTATAGGTGCGGGAGATTTCTTGGATCATCATGTTCCTTGTCACGGTTCTAGAAGGAAGTTGTAAATTCCTCATAGGTTGTGTACTAAAATGAGACTAGATATTTAAATCATGGATCTTGTGGTCGGGTGTGGATTGTAAAACTTTTGCTATAGGTTTACATATACACAACTGTAATTACATTGATCTTCCAAAGCATTGCCTGCAACAATCCATCTTCGAAGTTTAAACAGTTGCTTTGATGCAGAAACCCTCAGACACTCTCGACAGTCTAATTTGGCTCCTCGTGACAGCAGATCAAAGTTTGGGAGCATTGACATTGATAATGTCCTTCTGAATCAGAAAGGGTGCTTTCACAACATGAAATCATCATTCACTGGTTCATCAACTGGACCTCAATGCCAGCTCTGCATGGTCCAGATAGCTGAAATGGCTAACGAGGTTAACGCTGATGGCCAAAAAAACAAAGCATTGTGACCCATCTACATCATGCAACATACGAGTAAAATAGAGACAAAGATAACCGAACTTTGTGAGGTCCTGGTTAAGCTCCTCTGCAACTTCAACAGAAAAGCCACTCCAGTAAAATTTTTCAAATTTAGGGAAAGAAAAATGGCTAACATATTCATTGATGTTGCAATAGTGTTCATCACTTTTCCTTTACAAGTGATGTAGATGTCTTCACCATGTAAATTGGCCAACCCCTACAGCTAAATAATGTTTAATAACTGCTGCCAAATTGAGATTTGCCCCAACCTCTGACACACAATTAGGTAACTCATAGGGAAGAGATTCATAGTATACGCATAACAAAGGAACAACATTTCCATAAACAATTAAAAAGAGTTCTTACCTGACATTACCAACTTTTGCACAACTAATAGTTACAGAGTGTCACGATGCAAATATTGAAAGAATGATTATGGAACTGAGAACACAGTTTTCAGGTTATGATATACTGAGTAACAAAAATGCAACAAAAATTCCAAAAGTGAAGTGGTGAAAGTTGCAAATCTAATTATCTGAACATAAAATGGAATTCCAAAAACATTTTATTGATAACCTGCTCAACAATAAAGGACAACTCAACAAAGGATAGCGTTTGCATGTTATCAAGTACAATTGCAAAATTATTGCTCTCATATCTTGAGCAGAGTGAAGTCCAAGAAATGCTCGTGAGCAGTAGCAAGTAAGAGTGCCTACTCCAACTGAAGAGAGAAGGGTTATTGGTACTGAATATTTCTCATCCAATGTTGAGAAACGTTTACTTCTTATAGTCACCAAGCAATCCTCTTCATCTACAACTGCCCTTTTCCTGTTCCAGATAGTCAGACATCAGAATGCAGATTGGATGATTTGGTCGACAGAATACTTGCTGAATATAGCAAGCACTCTGCAAACAAACCTAGCATGATGCTTTTGCAGGGACCAAAGTATCCCAACTTATAGAGCTTATGATCAATTAAGTTTGGCCAGCTTCAGATTCAAACAATGTGAAGTAACTGCTTGACAAATGTAAGCTCAGAGTAAGCAACTCTATGAAATTTGTTGTATTACTAGCCTGATACCAAGTCACTCAACAAGCCATATTGTACTTTTGAAAATCAACTGATGCTGTAGACCTGCCATGTTTAATTTTTAGTTGGATATATCTCTCTCTCTCTCTCTCTCCATCTCTCCCTCTCTCTTGTTTCTTTTCTTCTTCTTTCTGATTTTTTTTTCTCTCTCCATTATTCACTCCTCCAATAGATTAGCAAAAAATGTACACACACACACACACATATATTAGCTAAATGAAATTTAAGAAACATGCAACAGCATACATATCCAATCAACAGTCAAGAACAGGGGTTTGAGCAATATGAAAACTGTATGCCACCGAATCAGCTCGTCAGAAACTCCACAAGAACAAGGCATCAGAGCTAAGCAAATTGATTTTTCAGGGGTCATTAAGCGGAAACATCTAAAATAAACCACCATGAACAATTTAATGGATGTCAATTTGTTATTAATATTGGAATTCAATCAATTCTCAGATTTTAAAATTACATACAGAGCAATGCTGCAGCTCTCACATAAGTAATTTTACCTTTCACCAAGCTACAAAACAGTATCCCTGCAAAACTTTAATAGATTTCCTCCTCACGGGCTGTAAATTACAAGAAAAGCTTGAGATCCGTTGAGATGGCAGAAGACAGCCAACAACAATGCTAATCGTACAACAGAGCAACCAGTTGTAAGCACTTCCTTGTTAAGCACCTAAGCTCAGTTGCTCAAAAATAATTTTCTGATCCATCCCGGCTCTGCAGCAGGAGTACAGACATCCCGACACTCAAACTTATAATTTCATCTTGCAACGGCCAGAGATTTATCCGAGTGGATGCCATCTGGTTCGTGTCGGTAATGAAGAAGACGTGGGAGCTTCAGTGATCAACATTTGTCAAGCACATTGAACCAGAACGGACAGATGCAATCACAGCTTCAGGATAAACAAATCTTTGTAGGATATTTCATTCTTCCATTGAATGCATACAAATTTTTTCCAGCAGCAATGGCCAATCTTCACCCAGCTGCTGGGGATTTAGCTCCATTGCCACTTTGAAATCAAGCAAAGATATTGAGCACCGCTGCCCCTGTTCCTGCATAACTTCTGTGGGCCCAGAGCTACTCTGCATATGCAAGTGATTACTTGGCCACATCCCATTAACAAGCTTGCCTTGAGGCTGCTGCTTGTGGGCAGAATGCTTTCTCAACTGATGTGTAGACCTTGATCCCGCCAAATGAACACATGACCTGATCAGTTTCTTCAAGTATACATCCAACATGTTATTCAACATACTAGCAGATTCCACAGAAACCCCTCCAAGGCCCTGCGCTGCCGCAATCTGCTCCATACGTTTCTTCAATGTCTCCGTGTCATACAAACCGCCACTGTCATAGTAGCTAATGAAGTCGCCACTGCTAGCCAATGGTATAGCTTTGCGGGTCCCACCAACACTAGCTGAGCAAAATGGAATCCCAAGTGGTGCGAGCAGAGGACTTCTAAAGAGATTAATGTGGTTAGCTTGCTCCACCTCCTCCCCATCTTCAACAATGGCTCCTTCAGTCTGATCCTTAGTAGGCACCCTCAGTTTTTCTGTGGATCGCACTAAACCTTCTCTTTCAATTTCAGGTTGCTCGGCAACTGCTTGAAGATGTTGCACTGGTCTCTGATAATCATATGGAGTCAAATCCCCATTTTCTATACCCAATTTATTGCCATTGTCTTCTGTACCCATCGATTGATTTGAGATACTCTCAACTTTACCATTTGGCCCCAACGGGCTGGGCCTATCCCTGAGTTTTCTATCCCGTATTCCAGACCTAACCTTTCGTGGGGATGATACTGGCAAAACCCCATTTGACCAAATGACCATATTTGGATTCTGATTGGGAATGAGGGATCCAGTTTGTTCATGTCCATCTTCTCTACCAGGAGAACTTTTCACAGTTTGTATCAAAGATTTCGCGGGACCCGCTTCATGAACTGGTGGCGGAGTCTTAGCCTGGCATGCATTTTTCAAGATTGATCGTATCAACTGATTATGAAGTGGCAGGTTCTCCCTCCCAAGAATGCGGTAGCATGACTTATCGAACTCACTTTTACTGAGCTTCTGACTTAAAAACCTACTCAAATTATTAAAATACCTTTTTGACCTCTCAGCCCCAATCTTCTTCACTATCTGAGCTTTCAATTCGCCTAAATCAATTCTAGAGCCCTGCTGCGGTTGCATTGCTCAACAAGCAGATTCCTACACCATTCACAAAACTACAAAACCTCTGAAACCCGGTTCCACCCCAATTTACAGCTTTCTCCACCACAAAACAAGTCCAAAATCACCAATTTGCATACCATACAATGCAAATCAAACTCTCAATCTCTTCATATTGAGAGTAAAACAGCAAGGACGAAATCCCAGAAAAAGAAAGGAAAAAAGAACTCACAATTCCCAAGGTGGATAGAGTTATTTCAGTTTCCAAACATCCCTAAATTGACCCACGGAGAAACCATACAATGCAAACCCAAATCTCATCTTCGGAGAACCAAAACCCTAGGGATCAAACTCCAGTAGAGTGGTTAACAGAAGCCCTACTAAACAAAGCCGAATTGAATAAAGCAAAGAACAAATCAAAACCCTAAAGTTCGAATCACCGAACTTGAAAAAACAAAAGAAAGAAACAACAGCGCCTGCCTCGTCTCAAGCGGAACAGCACGAACCGTGAATAAAATCACTGCAGCAATTAAAACCCAAGGTTTCTTTTACAGTCTAATTCAAAATACGAATAGAGTTGGGAATTGGAAAAATTGAAGTTGACGGAAAGAGATCAGTGGAGTTGGTAGGATAGAGTTGAGAACAGAGCACGAATTGCAGAGAAAAAATAAGCACCAATGAAGAGCGGAAAAAGAGAAGCTCCAGAGTAATGAAAAAAAAAAAAAAGAAGATTGATTGAGGGCTGACCTTAGACAAACTTGCTTGACCAATTGCAGAGAAATCGAGTGCCACTCAGTTGTTGGTTGGGGGGGTCGGGGTCTGCGTTTGGGTTTGGGTCGGATTGCTCGCTGCCTCGATTCTTTATGGCTTCCTCCCTCTACTTTCTATTTTCTTAATTTCTGTGTTTATTAAGAGTGCATTTTCCTTTCGAGCTTTCCCTTCTTCTTGATTTGCTATTATTTCAGCTCCTCTTTGTTTTGTGTTTAGCTCGATCCCTCGCTGCTACTATTTTAATTTCCCTTTTCTTTTTTTTTCTCTCTCTCTCTCTCTTTTTCTTCCTCTTTTATATATAAAATATGTATATCTCTCTCTCTCTCTATCCTCGCTCCCTTCTTTCTCTCTGTCTTCGACTTCACCTTGTGTTCTTTTTTAGTGTAAACGTGTTTTATTTCTTTTTTTTGTATGTTTTATATTATTATGTAATTAAATATTATTATTTTGCTAATAAATAAATTTAAAAATTAATCATTTTTTAAAATAAATATTCATAATTTTAGAAAAAAATTTGCTTTTACGCAATAATAAGGTGACATTCCATCATTTAAGTGATAATGAAATATTGTTTTGCTTTCTTTGTTTTGTTGTGCATTCAAACAATTAAAACTGGAAAAACATATTTAGCATACTCAATAAGTAATGCTATTGCATCTTCAAAACAAAATAAAAAAGGAAAATGTTGTCTACAAAAAAGGGTTTGACCATGAAAACAAACAAATAATACAACCCAGTATAGGCAAACATGTTATTTAAAAAAAAATAAAAATTTCATAGATATATTTTATTTTAAATAATATGTTATTGAGTAAATAAATGTATAAATCGAAACATACACTCAAACCAAATAAGATGAAAAATTAAAAAAAAAATGGCGAAATGTGGCATTGTTCTTTCTCTTCCAGTGTGGAAATCCATGGAGGACGACGTTGTTTTGTCAATTTATTATCCTTTTGCAACTCATCAAAGGATAACATTAACAGACTAGCCATTTTGTTCATTGTCGGGTCTGACAATCTCTGTCTTGGCAAAAGTAGTTCCGTTATAGAATAGTTTCCACCATCCTCTGCTCTAAGTAAAGCCCAGTTTACCATGCTATAATTATTAATGCATCGGTTTTTCAGTTAAATTAAATTGAAAATTTTAAAGCATAATAGTTGAAAAATAATTAAAATTTTATTAAATTAATCAAATTTATTCTATCAAAATCGATTAATTTTCGACTTACTGTATAATAAAGACAGAAAAGAAATAGAAAATTGGGTAATTATTTTTATGATTATGAGAGTATGTACAAATCCTGAAATGTGCAAAGCAGCACGTTGCAGATGTTTTTTCCATCTCCCAAACCTCACCTGAAGATAGCTTTTTCCGAGAAGGGTTTAGGAAACTGGTAGTTTTTGTACTGATATTAGTTGCCATTTCAAGGGAAGCAGAGTGCGTGATCCTCCAATGTTGTCTTCCATTTGGTTACTATTAACCACTTCAATTCATATATTAATATTTAGTGAAACACGTGCAAATTATTTATAGATTGTTAATTGAGAAAAAAAAATTCATAAAAATATTATGAGAAAAAAAATTAATATCATAAAATTATGGATAAAATTTACTCTTGAAAATATTAACCATTAACCCTGATAATTGAAATGAATATGTTCTCAAGAGAGCCATATCATTTCTTTAAAACATGAGGCATTGGCCCAATAATAGGTAGAATTGAGCATTAATAAGTTTCATTGGAATAAATCGATCAAAATAAATTAAATTCGGTTTGGTTTATTTGATTTCGGTTTTAATTAGTTATATAGTTTGATGTTCAAAATTTAAAATCGAATTGATGAAAATTGACTATTAATATTATTAAAATTTTTAATGTAATATATATTTATACTTATTAATATTATCAATAAATGTTATTATTAATATATAATTAATATTATATTATTAATAAAAAATGATAAAATCGATCAAATTAACAGAACTGATTGAACATAAGTCCGTTTCGACTATTTCAATTTGATTGATTTGATCATTTTTCTATAAAAAATTAATTACTCTGAGTTTTGAAATTTTAAAAATTAATCGACTGAATCGATGGGTCAAGAACCTAAGAGTAAGAGACCAAAAGGCCCAAAAAGGTTTGGGTTTAGCCCGATTAAGGTAGAGAAAGGGAAATATGGAGGCCCAATTAGAGATTTATTCGAGCCCATAAAGAAAACAGAGGGCGAACGGAGCCTTCCTCCTCCTCTTTCTTCTTCCTTGTTTTAGGGTTTATCACAAAGAGAAGAGACCGCCATTAGTCGTCGAGTTCGTGTCTCTTTCTCCGAATTGCTGCAGATTGGTGGCAAGGATTGAACTGGTAAAATGGAAATTCGAATATTATTATTATTTTTTTAATTTTGCTTCTATCAATTTTGCATGCGCGAATATCGCTATTTTTGATTATTAAGTTACTGCTAAATTGGTAACCTGAATTGAAACTCTTGAAATCATGCAGCAACGAACAACTAATCTCCAGTTATGGGGGAAGTGGTAATTGTTCGGTCACAATTTCGTTTATTAGCTTAGTTCATTTCAGCCATGAAAACTCTGTTAATTTGCGTAAATATTTCACCATTTCTACAGAATTTCATGCAAGAGGAAGATATTCGGTTGGAGACTACGCGAGCGAGATGTATCTAAG